TGGCTCAGTGTGAGTGCTGTGATGAACTCCAGAGCTAACCCTAACCCTAACCCTAACCCTAACCCTAACTCCAGAGCACTGAAGCTGAGACCATGGGTCCGTTGCACCCCTCATGGTCGGAGATCCACCTCGTCACCTGGCCACGAGCAGCTTCTCCATTGACTTCAGTGTGCTTCTTCTCGAAGGCTGGGGCCAGAGCTGGTGCAGGTGGCCAGGCAGGGCCATGCAGGTTTTGAGGGCTTGTGTGAATTTAATCACACTACTAGGCACTTGCTATTATGACAAAAACTTGCTTGGGAAGTAACTGTGGACACTTCATGTTTACTTCTTGTTACTTCATTGAAACCATTTGCAAACATAAGTGGCTCACCCATGGGGAATTCTGAACACCATTAACATGGGCTTTTTCCGTTCAGGCTCCATCCAGATGGTATCTTGTGCGTCCTTTCTTTGTGTCTCCCTTGAGTAGAAAGAGTGGTAACAATATCATTCCTGGGACCTGCTGAATAACTTTTAGGAAATGAATTCTTTCGAGGCAAGGAGTGTTGAAAAGTGATGTTCCTGCACAAGCATCCTTCACCACTTGGATGTAGATGATGGGTCTTCTCTCCTCTCGCCGGACTAGTTGTTTCGCAGTCACTCAATACCACACTGTGCTGCGGCGGGTCAGGCACTCAGTGAAGGCTATGTGTCCATCACTTACGTTCTCTTGCTCACAAAGTTAGGATACAATTTTCTAACTTATGGAGGAGTGGACCAAACACTAAAGCAGGAATAAGTAAGACAAAAATATCCTTCGAAAAAATCTGGGTTTTTGTTTATTTTATTTTATTTTATTTTACTTCTCAATATACATCATAGTTGATTTTCATGCTCCTTTACCTGTTCCTCTCCACCCCTCCCCCACATTGTATTTGTTCACTTGACTTAAATAGTTCAAGGAATAAAAAAATCTGTTTTTATTCTCACCTCTCACTCTAATTAGTTGTCCGTGTTGTTGCCAAAGTGATAGTTCTTGTATGAATATCAGATTGTTTTATTCTCTGGCCTAAAATTTTTCAGTAATCCTATATTACCATTGGTTAAAAGTCAAAATCTCTTTGCAAGACAGAGGAGCCTCTTTATGACCTGGCTCCTACCTATGTCTACTGTCTAGAGTTTCTCTCTCTCTGCCTCTCTCTCCATTTACTCTCCCGTTACACCACTAGTGACTCCCTAAATGCACCAGATTTCTTAAGTCTGTATTTGTACGTTGTATTAATCAGGTTATCATTAATGGTTGCTAACACAGAAACACCAATATATCAGTGACTTCTTACAGCCTGAGTTAGTTTTTCACATAACAGTCTAATGCAGGTATTCCTGGTCAGTGGATGGCTTTCCTTCAGCTATTGTCTCAGGGATCCAGGCTCTTTCTTCACGGTCTTTGAGTCCTCCCCATCTAGCTGATACATGGGGAAAGAGAAGGGTGAAGACCCACCTGCTTCATCAGTGATGTGGCCCAGAAGTGATGCACACATTGCTTTTGCTTATATTCCATTGGCGAGAACCAAGCAGATACAAGATGGCCAGAAGACAGTCCCTGGCTGAGCAGCCACTTCCCAGCCACACAGTTCTGCACACGGGAGAGCAGAGATTCTGGTGAACTTTCAGCTGTCTCTGCTGTTACATGCCGCCACACACACGTGCAGCCTGGATCCCAACTCACTCCCTGATTCAACACATCTGGACAAATCCTATGTGACCTTTTAGGATTCACCTCAAGCACTGCGTAATTCAAAGGGCTTTGGAGCATCTCCTGCATATACTCATATCACATGGAGTGCCCACCAGCTGTCATAGCCTGTGTCACATTGTGTAATGATTGTTTGCTTATGAATCTTCATTTATACAAACTTGAGCTCCTGTAGGACTAGGACTGTATTTTTATTTAAAATCTATAAATGTATGGTACAAAATCTGCACTCAACAAATGTTTTATTGAATAAATGAAAGGTGTTTAGATGATTGGATTCATGAGAGAGAGGTAAAACCTCCAAAACTTGAGGTTTTAAAGAACAAACTGTGAATTATTTATCCCAAAACACATACATCAATCTTAGTTTTAAATTGAGGGATGTTTAGTCCTCTGAAGTTTCTTTGCTGTTTGTTAATAAATGCATATTAAAAGAGTTCTCAGTTTTCAGATTACCATAAGCATCCTAAAACAGTTTATAAACCTAAAAGTCAGGGATCGTCATTCAGATTCATGAAAAGGAATGGTGTATCATTAGAATGTATTTGGCTAAAGGTAAATAGAAACTGAATTCAGGATTGTTTGAAAAATATCACATAACAAGAAGTCTAGACTTAGAGTAGCTCTAGGGTAGGCTAGTCAACCCAGTGGATCAGTGGTGTCATTCAGGACCCAGGTTCTGTCTGTGTCTTGATCCTTCCATCCTCAGCATATTGACTGTGTCCTCAGACTAGAGCCCCTCATGGTCACAAGATACCTGCCAGCAAAACATGGAGAAGCATGTTGCCTTGGTCAGGTCTTGAGGAGAGAACAGGAACATCTCTCCCCTCAGCCATGGAATATAAGGCTTCCTTTTAGTCGGAAGGAGCTTAGATATGTGCAGATATGGACCACAAACATTCCCGGGGGAATTTCATCTCCTGTCTGGTTAGATTGTTCAGTATCTGTTAGAGAGCAAAGGTTTTCTTGAAGTTCTTGGATGAATATAAGAGATGCATATCTCCTCTCTCCATAATTTGTGGGTCCATTAGGAAGAAAAAAAATGAAAATATATGCTGAGTATTCGAGCAATAGTGTCCACTACAAATATTTTAACACCACCTTCTATTAAACTGGTATCTATAGAAGAGTGTGCAATTTTCTAAACCAGGCAATAACACAACCCTTTCTCCTGCAATTTTTAGAGGTTCCAAATCATATAATTTAAAGCATCCAATAGTGAGCAATCCATTTTAGTTTGTCACCCTCCAGTACAATTATTTATTCTTTATTTTAGGCCTCGTAATGGGTTTAATTTTACGATATGCTACAGCACCAA